GGCCAGTATGGGCAGTCTTGCTTATATTCCGATCGGTGAGAGGCCGCTTGCTTTGGATGTTCAGGCCTTAGCCAATCAGTTCGTGAGGCTGGATGTTTCTGAGCCCAGTCGTGTGTAGCTTGCACGGTAGCTCGTTCTTCATTATCGGAGCGTATCCATGATCGGCAGTATGATGATCCCCATTTGTGTGTCCTTAGAGACACGGTGCAGCGCGGAGGTGCCAGGCATGTTACCTTAGATGATGATGGAGTTTTGAGATTGCAGGGTCGAGTATGTGTGCCTAATGTGGATGGGCTCCGAGAGTTGATTTTGGAGGAGGCCCATAGCTCCCGGTACTCTATTCATCCGGGCGCCGCGAAGATGTATCAGGATTTGCGGCAGCATTATTGGTGGTGTAGAATGAAGAACGATATCGTAGCATATGTGGCTCGTTGCTTGAATTTTCAGCAGGTTAAGTACGAGCATCAGAGGCCTGGTGGTTTATTTCAGAGGATTGAGCTTCCCGAGTGGAAGTGGGAGCGGATTACTATGGACTTTGTTACTGACTTCCGCTGACTCGAAAGAAGTTCGATGCAGTTTGGGTCATTGTTGATAGGCTGACCAAGTCAGCACATTTCATTCCTGTGGCAATCTCCTATTCTTCTGATAGGTTGGCTGAGATCTATATTCGGGAGATTGTTCGCCTTCATGGTGTGCCCGTATCTATCATTTCGGACCGGGGAACGCAGTTTACCTCGCGCTTCTAGAGAGCAATCCAGCGAGAGTTGGGCACGCGGGTTGAGTTGAGCGCAACATTTCATCCCCAGACGGACGGTCAGTCCGAGCGAACTATTCAGATCTTAGAGGATATGCTCCGAGCTTGTGTTATTGACTTTGGAGGTTCGTGGGATCAGTTCTTGCCCTTAGCGGAGTTTGCCTACAACAACAGCTACCAGTCGAGCATCCAGATGGCTCCCTATGAGGCTTTATATGGTAGGCGGTGTCGGTCTCCGGTTGGATAGTTTGAGCCGGGAGAGGCTCGGTTGTTGGGTACGGATCTGGTTCAGGAGGCCTTGGACAAGGTCAGGATCATTCAGGATAGGCTTCGTTCAGCTCAGTCCAGGCAAAAGAGCTATGCAGACTGCAAGGTTCGAGATGTGGCTTTCATGGTTGGTGAGCGGGTATTGCTCCGAGTGTCGCCTATGAAAGGCGTGATGAGAATTGGGAAGAAGGTCAAGCTTAGCCCTAGGTTCATTGGCCCGTTTGAGATTCTTGACCGAGTGGGAGAGGTGGCTTATAGACTTGCTTTGCCGCCGAGCTTATCAGTCGTGCATCCAGTGTTTCATGTGTCCATGCTTCGGAGGTATCACGGCGATCCAGCCCACGTGTTAGATTTCAGCACTGTCCGGTTGGACAAGGACTTGTCTCATGAGCAGGAGACGGTAGCTATTCTAGACCGGCAGGTTCGTCAGTTGAGATCCAAGAGTTTCCCTTCTGTTCGTGTTTAGTGGAGAGGTCAGCCTCCTGAGGCATTGACCTGGGAGCCCGAGTCCGATATGCGGAGCCGTTATCCTCATCTTTTCCCCGACTTAGGTACTTCTTTCTTCTGTCCGTTCGAGGACGAACGGTTGTTTTAGAGGTGGAGAATGTGGTGGTGATGACCCTTTGGGTCATCACCTGTTTTAAATGAATTATGTGCTTCCGAGCCCTTGAAAACCTCGTTTAGAGTCGCCTCGATTTGCGTGCGCAGTCCGGACGCGTAGCCGGAAAGCTTAAATGTGAAATTCTATGAAAAATGCTAATTTTTGATGTTAAAATGAATAAATTTGACTTTGGTCAATATTTTGGATAAACGGACCCGGACCCGTGATTTGACGGTCCCGAAGGGTCCGTAGGAAAATATGGGACTTGGGCGTATGCCCGGAATTGAATTCCGAGGTCCCAAGCCCGAGAAATGAATTTATTTATAAAAATTGTTTTCTGAAATTGATTAAGGAAATTGGAAATGAAATTTGATTAGAAAGCGATGGTATAGGGCCCATATTTTGGTTCTGGCGCCCGGTACAGGTCTTATATATGTTCTAAGTCCTTCCTCTGAAATTTGGTTGAAAACGGACGTCGTTTGACGTGATTCGGACTTAAATTGGAAAATTTGATATTTTATGAAGTTTAAAAGAATTCATGGATTTTGAGGTTTAATTCGATGTTTAAGATGTTATTTTGGCGATTTGATCGCACGAATAAGTCCGTAGGATATTTTTGAGGTTGTGTGTATATTTGGTTTGGAGCCCCGAGGGCTCGGGTGAGTTTTGGATAGGCCATGAGTGCATTTTTGGACTTTGAAAGATAGCTGTTGCATTCTGATCTGCAGGCTTCGCAATTGCGAAGCCAGTTTCGCAAATGCGAGCTCGCAAATGCGAGCCTTGCATCACAATTGCGAAGTGGAGACCTGGGCAGGCCTGATCGCAAATGCGACCACTGGGTTCGCAAATGCGACGTCTGAGATCGCAAATGCGAGATTGGGGATTTAGGAAGGGGTTCGCAAATGCGAATAAAGCTTCGCAATTCCCATGTCAGGTCGGGATTCGCAATTGCGAACCCATGTTCGCAATTCCCATATCTGCAACCTGCATTTTCTATACTTAATCGATTTTTAAGTCATTTTTACACCATTTTCAAAATATAACTCCTTTAAGCAATTTTTCAAGAACAAACCTTTTTCCAAATCAATTGTAAGTTAGTTTTTACTCTTTTCTTTCAATCATTTACATCTTTTAACATGATTTCAACCTAAAATCAAAGATTTTCAAGGGGGAAATTGGGTGTTTTGGGTAGAACCTAGGTTTTTCAAAAATTGGGGATTTGGACCTCAATTTGAGGTCCGATTTCAAAACAAATTACATATTTGAGTTCGTGGAGGAATGGGTAATCGGGTTTAGGTTCGAACCTCGGGTTTTGACCACGTGGACCCGGGGGCAATTTTTGACTTTTTGGGTAAAACTTGGGAAAACTCATTTTCATGCATTGGGGTTGATTCATTTAGTGTTTATTAATGTAATTAAGTAATTTGTGATTAGATACGAGCGAATTGGCGGTGGAATCGCAGGGTAAGGCTATACTTGAGGCTTAAGTTGTGTGCAAAGCATTGAGGTAAGTGTTTGGTCTAACCCTAGCTTGAGGGACTAGGAGTTGAGTCTTATTTGCTAATTGCTTCTTGTTGAGTACGACGTATAGGCATGGTGACAAGTATCTATACGTTAGCGTCTAGCATGACCGTGAGTCTTTAAATTGTGAATATCTTGATTTCGTTGTATTTCTCTTGCCTTGGTGATGATTCCTATTTGTTGTGAAAAGCTTGTGAAAGGAAATTGTGACCTATGAACAACGAGGAGCATTGGCTCAAGTTATATTTCAATTGTGAACGTATATGAAATGGTTGAACCCCTTTGGAGCATTGGCTCAAGTGGTAAAGTGAGATATGAAATAAAAGTGAAAGGAAGAGAAAGAGTATTTAAATTGTTCCCTTGCCGAGATATTGTTGTTTATTGATTGTTTTCCCTTGCCGGGATGTTAAGATTATTGATGTTGTACCCTTGCCGGAATTTAATTGTTCAATTGTGTTCCCTTGTCGGGATTTTTTATTATTATTTCGTTTATTCCCTTGCCCCTTGTTTGTGATTGTTGTTTGGGTGAGGGAGAGTGTTAAAGCACGAAGGGTGATGCCGTGCATTGTTTGTTTGTTGTGAGGAAAGAGTGTAAAGCACGAAGGGTGATGCCGTGCATTGTTTGCTTATGGTGAGGAAAGAGAGTAAAGCACGAAGGGTGATGCCGTGCCGCACGATGTACCATTCCGTGCCGATTCTATCGATTATATGTGAGGAAAGAGAGTAAAAGCACGAAGGGTGATGCCGTGCACACTTTATTATATCATTGCTTGGTGAGGATGAGAGTAAAAGCACGAAGGGTGATGCCGTGCACTTGTGGCTTTCTGTTTCTTTATTAATGTCTGAGTTGTGTTGTTTCCTTCGTTACTGGACGACTTTACTTGAAATTGTTATATCGCCCATAGCATGCTCCCCCTCCCATAAGTCTCTGTATTTCGATTCCGCAGTATATGTATATATAACTACACAGGTTTATGTGGTAGTCCGGTCTAGCCTCGTCACTACTTCGCCAGGGTTAGGCTAGGCACTTACAGCACATAGGGTCGGTTGTGCTGATGCTACACTCTGTGCACTTTTGCACAGATCCAGGTGTCGGAGCAGCTTACGGTGCGCAACAGTAGTTAGGGAGCCGACCTTTAGTCCACGAGACTCCGAGGTAGCCTTGCTGGCGTCCGCAGGCCCGACGTCCCTTCTTTCAGTTTTCATGTTCTGTTGACATTTGTATTCGAGACAGACTATGTCCTTTATTTCAAACTCTTATTTGTAGTAATCCTAGACAGTCCGTGTATTGTTGTGACACCAGGTGCTGGGTAGAGACTTGTATTGGCTTTCTAAACGCTGTTTCTATATTTAGTTCAGACCTCCGCTAAATTTTACTTTTCGTTGTCTTTTTAACTGCTTATTCATTGATAATTTAATTGTTTAATCATGTATAAAACAAGATAGGTTAATGTTTGTAAAGGTTCTTGGCTTGCCTAGCTACCACGAGCAGGCGCCATCACGACCCCGAGGGTGGAAAATCCGGGTCGTGACAATTAACTTCTCAAACAAAATGTTCTAGAAAGAAATTTCAAAAAGTCACTGTAATACTATAAACTATTCTATTGAATTGAAAAGAAAGAAGAAGAAAAAAAGCGCGGGAAAGCACTCTGTTCTTTGCAGTACGGAAGAGAATTTTCGTTCACGCATTGTTCTCGAATTTCCAAAAATATCCCCATTTTCCCGCTCTTACAAGTTGGTCAATCATGTAATTATCTTCAACTTTCAGGGTCAAATTCTTTCCCCTCGCTTCTCACACCATTCTCTTCTTCTATTCTTCTCTTTCCCACACAGCAACCAAGACACACACACAGCGAAAAAAAAAATGTCTGTACGAAATCGACCTTTGTATATAGTAATAAAGTTTTTTACGAGTAGGGTTTTATTACATTCTGTAAAGTGAAAAAAAAAAATGAATTCTCATATTCAAGCTCTGAATGTGGATAACCATTTTTCCGCCGCCGGCGAGGAAGTTCCCGCCGGCAGTGATAAGGCGGTTGATGACTTTCCGATTGGCTATGAAGGTGGGGTGGGTGCTGTAAGGTTACAATGCCTCATAATTACACAGTTTATAGTGCTTCTGATCATGTTGCTTTTCAAAATGGAGAGGCTAATTTGAACCAGCTCACTCTATCGTTTCGTGGCCAAGTTTTCGTTTTTGATGGTGTTACTACTCACAAGGTGAGTACTTTAAGATTTTGCTTTCGTTTTATTGTCTACTAGTACACGTACCCGCGCGATGCGCGGATTGTAAAAAAAAAATATTAACATGATAATATTGCTCTTAATTATTTGTTCATTTGAATTGTATTGAAAGTATGGTATGACAGTAGTAGCTTTCTTGAAATGTGAGATAAATTATGAAATATTCCAAGAGTTAAAAGTGATAAAGACATTCATAGGTGTACTCAAATAAAAATATGCGTGATAAAAATATGCACTACAAATGCAAGAATGAAAAATGAACAGAAAGTAAACAGTAATGTTAGTACTAATGTGTATGCTTCATTCTCATTATAGATTATTCAGCTAACTGAAAACTCAAATCTTTCCTGCATTATTACACAACTGTTGAACTATTCCAATTGTATCCAAAGATGGAGCTAACACTCTCAAGATTGTATATGACTGTTGTTTCTTACATATCTACTTCAATGGATGTAGAACTGAACGAAGTGACCTCAATGGCTGACTATGAGCAAAGTACCTGGAGAATGTGTATCACTATAAATACCAGGAACCCCATATATGCATAAATATACTACTACTAAAGCCTATGCATCCAACAAATGCAATATGAAACTTTTAGGCAGCTATCGACCAAAAAGAACATTAGACTGGTAAAACAGTAAGGTAGCAACAATTCAAAAACTAACTTGTAGCCAAGAGTATCCTCCGAGCAGCCATTTATTTTTAGATGCAAGCAAGGAATTTATCTACGGTGCTCACACATTTGGCATGCAGAAGCATGCTTCTTATTGACAAATGTACATATTTCACATTCCCAACTGCCAGAAGCATCTTCACTGCACATTAGGCATGCCGTGGCAGAGCTAGTGTCACGACTCGGATTTCCCACCATCAGAGTCGTGATGGCGCCTACTCGTGGTAGCTAGGCAAGCCAACTTAATTACCTTTCCATCACTAGCAATTATCTTTAACAGTTTATGACATCAATATAGAACATAAAGTCTAATAAGAACAATAGCGTAAGTCTGTTTAAAATGATGAATTTAAAACGCGGAATAGTCAAAAACAACCTCTACCCAAGATTTGGTGTCACATTACTCACAAACCACTAAGAATAAACTAAATACAAAGGTCTGAAAGAAATATAACAGCTGTCTGTCTCGAAACAAGGAGGCAACAGTCTAAAAGAAAACAATGAGAAGAGACGCCGGGCCTGCGGACGCCTGCAAGGCTACCTCAGTCCCGTGAATATGAATCGCCTGCTTCCGAACTACTGCTGCTGCTGTTCCTCAAAACCTGGACCTGTGCAAAAATGCACAGAAGTATAGCATCAGCACAACCGACCCTATGTGCTGGTAAGTGTCTAGCCTAACCCCGGCGAAGTAGTGACGAGGCTAGACCGGACACCACATAAACCTGTGCAGTCATAAATATACAGCGAAAATCGAATACAAGGCAATTAACAGCATGGGAGGGGAAACATGCTAAGCGGAGATACAATATTAACAACAATCCAGAGTAACAACTAAAAACAGCGTAGGTTCACAAAGAATAAAGAATCAATACCAAATACAAACACATAGCCTCAATAACTGTTGCGGCGTGCAACCCTCTCCATAATTACTATTGTTGCGGCGTGCAACCCGCTCCACAAATACCACTGTTGCGGCGTGCAACCCGACCCATATCATTTATCATGTATCATTGTTGCGGCGCGCAACCCGATCCTCACATTTTATTGTTGCGGCGTGCAACCCGATCCTCAATATCATTGTTGCGGCGCGCAACCCGATCCTCAATATCATTTAACAGCCCGACTCCCCAAACAACAGTCACAATAAAGGGGCATAAAAATAAGCAAATATTTGACAAACATCCCGGCAAGGGAAAGAATTCAACAACGCTTTCTCTTTCTTACTTTCCTTATCTTTTAATTCACTTTACTATCTTGAGCCAACGCTCCAAAGAATCAAGTCTTTTCGTATACTTTCAATATTCGTATCACAATTCGAGCCAATGCTCCCAGGAATCAAGTGATCATATTACCGTTCACATGTTATTCACAACAACTAGAAATCCTCCAATAAACACGGAGTTCACAACCAAATCATGATAATCACATTATAAGGACTCACGGTCATGCTAGACACCAATGTATAGATACTCGTCACCATGCCTATACATCGTACTCGATCACATAGCAATTAACAACAAGATTCAACTCCTATTCCCTCAAGCTAGGGTTAAACCAAACACTTACCTCGGCCCCAAGAATGGCAATCAACCTTCAAAGACCGCCTTTCCTCTACAATCCGACTCCGAAATAGTGATATCTAGTCATGATTAATTCAATAATATCAATAAAGACTCAAGGGCAACATCCCATAGCCTAGATATGAATTTTCTAGCATTATTCCAAAAATACCAAAATTAGACACCGGGCCCACATGGTCCAAACTCTAGGCTCGGACCAAAACCCGATCACCTATAACCCCACGAGTGCAAATATATAATTTGTTTTAAGATTCGACCCCAAATTGAGGTTGAATCACCCAAAATTCTCAAAACCCTAACTCTACCCAAAACTCATAATTTCTACCTTGATTTCATGTTTTAGGGCTAGGAATTTAGTAATTAGATGAAGAAAAAATGAGAGAATGATGTTAAGATTACTTACCCAAAGAGTTATGGCGGAAGGAGAGCTTGAATTTCGTCTATGGTGGGTTTAAGAGGAGAGCCCGTGTGAAAAGAATGAAAAAATCCCGTCACTGGTTCTTTTTTTAGGCTTTAAAATAACTGGGCGAATTTGCCCTACGCGATCGCGGATATAGGGATGCGATCGCGAAGGGTTACACGGAATGGTCAACGCGATCGCGTGGGTTGTAATGCGATCGCGTAGGGGAATACTGGGGGGTCCAAAAACTTGGTCTATGCGATCGCAACCCTACTGGTGCGAACGCATTGAAGGAGGTGCTAGGCAGTGCGATCGCGTGATCAAGTACGCGAACGCGAAAGAGCAAAGGGCCAAAGGAACGCGATCGCGGGCTGAAGATTGCGATCGCGTAAGAGGAAATCACTGAGCAAAAATTGCAGAAAAATCTGCTACCATTCTAAGTGCAAAAACACCCCGAACCACCTCCAATTCACTCCCGAGCCCTCGGGGCTCCTAACCAATCACACACACTAACTCAATAACATCCTACGAACTTACTCGAGCGATCAAATTGCCAAAATAACATCAAAATCATTGAATCAAGCCTCAAACTCATCATTTCTATTTCAAACTTCATAAACTTCCAACTTTAGATAATTAGGTCCGAAACACGTCAAACGACGTCCGATTTCGACCAAACTTCACAGAAAGCGCTTAAACAATATATAAGACTTGTGCCGGGCGTCGGAACCAAAATACGAGCCCGATACCACAGTCTTTTAATAAATTTTCATTTTCATTTTCCTTATTAATTTCAGAAAAACAATTTCACAGAAAAATTCATTTCTCGGGCTCTAGACCTCGGAATTCGACTCCGGGCACATGCCCGAGTCCCATATTTTTCTACGGACCTTCCGGGACCGTCCAATCTCGGGTCCGGGTCCGTTTACCAAAAATGTTGACCGAAGTCAACCTTAAACATATTAATATCAAAATTCTTCAAATTTTTCACAGAATTCACATATTTCAACATAAAAGCTTTCTGGCTATGCGCCCGGACTGCGCACGCAACTCGAGGCAAGTAAAAATGAGGTTTTCAAGGCCTCGGAAGCACGGAACGGATGAGGAAACAGGTGATGACCCTTTGGGTCGTCACATCCTCCACCTCTAAAACAACCGTTCGTCCTCGAACGGACAAAAGAAAGAAGTACCTGAGTCAGGGAATAGATGTGGATAACGGCTCCGCATGTCAGACTCGGACTCCCAGGTCGAGGTCTCAGGGGGCTGACCTCTCCACTGAACACGAACAGAAGGTAAACTCTTCGACCTCAGCTGTCGAACCTGCCGGTCTAGAATAGCTACCGGCTCCTCCTCATATGACAGATCCTTGTCCAACTGGAC